TTCATGTTGGGGGGTTTATCGGTTGTCAAGAGAGAGAGCTAGAGTTGTCGATGGGATGCATTCTCATGTCTTCGGAAAACATTGAAAATGAAATTACTGAAAACAACTTTTTTTCATTTTCAACTTTTGTTCACAAAGTCAGATTTGTTTTCAGAAAACGTTTTGTGAGGGAAAACGAAAACAATGCACCGACCGTGTATTTGTGAAAAACAGGAAACAAAAACAGAAAACAGGCCCTAAAAACATTACCGAACGGGCCCTTAACATTGTAATCTCCAATTTCAAAACTTGCTCCTGCAAGTGAAGATTAGAATGCTCATTGGGCTGCTCTCCGACTCCAAGTCGAAAGTAGGACACGTAAAAGTGATATCAGGTTGCAGTTTTTCTATTTGGGCCACATAAATGCCACTGGTTCTTTAATTTACGGGCCGAGCATTTTTTTATCTTCTAACAAAAACCAAAAAAACCAGCAATTTTACACACTTTAATCGACTAATTCTTAGTTTCATAGTGAAACTTTCTTTTCAACGTGGACATATAGATAACAAGTAAGATCATGTATGTATATGTATAAATGGAGATTTTGAAGCAATCTGTAGATAAGCTAATACGTTTGACGTGAGTAATTTTTGTGATTCTGAAAACAACCCAATGCAAGTTGCAACTACACTTTTGATGTGTCAATGCTAAGCAGAGTAAGGAATTTGTCACATTTAATTTAACTCTCTAGTTCGAGACCACAAACCAAACGCAAGAAAAGTAAACACAAAATGAAACACCATATTTAACGTGGTTCACCCAAAGTTGGGCTACATCCATGGGCGACGATGCCAATGATAATTCACTTAATCAAAAGAGTACAAGAGTATGACAAGAAAGAACAAATTGGTTCTCACCATCAAACTAAATTTATCTCGCTTCTCTCATCCCATTATTCCCTATACAAATAGATCCCCAAGTAGCAAGTACACATCGAAAGGTCACTAATAAAAGCACTTCAACTCTCTTTCTTCGAAGAGACAGGACGCAGAGCTTGACTAGCCAGGAAAAGTATTCTCTACGAGAAGTGCTTCTCTTAGAAGTTGATGGAAAACACTTTTCCTCATTAAACTGCACCACAACAACAAACAAGTTGACCCTGTGCTGTGATGCAAAACTCATAAGAATATAACTCAAGATTTGATGATGAGTGTCGAGAAAACAAATTAAAAGGGATAGTAGCTTACCATTTTGTCCAAAGCAATAAGTTCTAGACCACAGGCACATCGCATGCATGAGTTTCTTTTTCAATCTCGACTCTGCA